CCGGGTAGCGCGGCGGCGGGGCTCTGCGCGGGGTTAGGCCAGGAGGCTCCTGGACTGGTGTCCCCGCCGCCCTCCAGGCTGGCTTCTGAGGTCCTCATGGGAGGGGGGAACCCTGTCATCTGAGGCGTCCCTGGGGGGATGAGCTGGAGCAGGCCTGACCCTGCTCCCGTGGCCTTGATGGCTGTTACCGAGGGACAGAGCCACCCTGGGCGCCGCCCAGGCTTTCTGGGAATTCAATAGGCCCCCTTAGGGGACCTGGTCCTGCCCTTTGCGGTTTAGGGGAGGGTGGGGCCTGGTGGGACTGTGGGCAGGTTCCTCAGGACCCTAAAGGCAAGAGTGTGCTCCTGGGGCCGCAGGTGGGTGGTGGTTAAAGGCACTGGGCTCCCACTGCATTTCCTGTCTTACCTGGTGGCCTGAAACTCATGCCAGGCGCATGGAGGTGCATGCCTGGGAGCGCAGGAGGAGAAGGGGTTGCGGGGTGGCCGTCCCCCCCAGATGATTTCTCACTTTCCATCGCACTGTTTCTCTCTTCCCCAGGGGTGCACATGCCCTGTTGGGATACATAATATACACACATGCACACACACACGCATACACATTCATGCACACACACATAGTCCTGACTGTGCTCCCAGGTTCTCAGCGCGAGATGGAAGGTGGCCAGTTTGCCTTCACCTCTGAGAGCGAAGCCCCTGAGCCTTACAGCTCCCGCTTCCCACTGGAGGGGAAGAGCAATGAGCACCCCACTTCCGAGGCCCTGCGGGTCCTGGAGAGCCCCGCCGTTCTCATCCAAAGGTGCGGGGTCTGGGTGGGGAGGGGCTCGGGTAGGGAGGTCGGACTGGTCAAGAGGCCCAGCGGCAGCATTTAAAATGCCCAGAGACAGGCATTTAAAATCCCCCAAGGCCACGTTACCTCAATAATACTAGGTACTGGAGAAATAAAAAGCCTCCACATTATATCAACGACCAACCACTGAGGAAAGTGCGACAGAGGCCACACTCGTGGCCTGCCACTCGGGCCTCCTGGTCTTGTCTCCAAGCAGGTGTCAAGAGTGTTTCCGGACAAGGTTGGCGCACCTCCTCACAGCCTCACTGTGAGGAAGGGCTGGCCTGAGCTCACCTGTCGCATCTCACGAAGTCCCCCTCTGCTAAGGACTGATCGTGTCACTCCCAAACCCGCACAATGGAGCCCCTGCCCGCAGTGGGTGCCTAGGGAGCTGCCAGGTTGAGATGAAGTCATGAGGGTGGACCCCCATGGGGACCAGTGTCCTGCGGGAGGCCAGACTGGGTGAGCTCTCACCACCAAGTGAGGGCACAGGTAGGGAGCAGGTGGCTATCTGTGAGCCGGGCCAGGGGCTGGACTGGTCCCAGACTCGTGTCTTCCAGAGCCGTGAGAATGAAGTGTCTGCTGTTTAAGAGCACAGTGGCAGTGGGTTAGGGCAGCCCAAGCAGACCCAAGGCCTCTGTTTTCTAGATGAGGTCCTGGAGTCATGAAGGAAGTAAGGACCGCCCCCCCAGGGGGTGGGGGACAGCGGGGGACAGTTGCCTGGCCTCACCCTCCTGCCAGCGGGCCTCTCCAAAGACTACAGAGGGTCTCACAGCTCATTGCTCATATTAACAATATTCTTTCTTGGCCTCAAAATAATTTCCACTTTCTTCTCAGGAAATTAAAACTATGCTCTCACTATAGCTTATCTTTCCCCTTATTATTACTGTTTTTACTAAATGAGTAATGCCTGTCCAGTGAGGAGACACGAGAGCACGGCAGTGTCTCAGTGTGGCAGGGTGTGACCCAGCCCAGCAGCCTGGCAGCACTGTGTTGTCACCCCATCTGGCAGCTGGAGGCCGGAGGCCAGGTGCGGCAGGGGAGGCCTGGGGAGAATCTGGTCGCACCTCTCCTTGGCCTGTAGGTGGCGCCTCCTCCCTTGGCCCATGCACGTCATTGCCCTTGTGCATTATCTAGTCCAAGTGTTCCCAGTCACCTCGACTAGATGACTTTTGTAAAGAGAGTGCCTCCAGATACAGTCCCCTTGTGAGTGCTGGGGTCAGGACTCCATTGTAAAAACCCAGAAGGGGTGGGGAGTGGGCCAGATGTGTATGGCAGTGGGACCCCCACATGGCCCACAGAGTGGTTCGAGTCCTGGACTTGGTGACTTGAAGGTACGCTGGGCCTGTGTGTGCCCCAAAGCCCAAGGCGAGAGAGCAGTGTCTCTGGCAAGCACACGCGTCCTAGAGCAAATAAAAAAAAAAATCTGGGGGGACAGTCCAACTTACAACAGTAAGCAAGAGCAAAGCCCAGCTGGACTCGTGCCCAGCCTTTATCAAGGTAGTACCAGGACATCTTCTGCCCACTTCCACCTCCTGACCGGGTTCCACAGTGATAGAGCAAACACTGTCCTCAGCAGGCCGGGCCCCTCCTCACCGGACATTGCTTTGCTTAGCCTCTGTGGCCCGCAAACGGAGTTGGAGGTCTGGCTGGTGGAGGGGTCTGAGTCGGAGAAGTCCCTGCCAAGTCGTCAGCCTGCCTGTTGGTTTGAGTGTAGGCCAGAGGTGCTGGCCCGCAGCAGCTCCTGGGAGCCCTCCCCAGTTGAGAGGGAGGCAGGGGCGAGGGTGTGAGTGTGTACGTGTGTGACAGCTCGGGTGGGCTCCACTTTGTTTACGACTTGAGCTTGTAGACACGACAGCAGGGAAGAGGTACGCACCCTTGCACGGCCACCTCCCCGTATCCTGTCATCCGTCCGTCCGACCGACCGTCTCACTGTTAGGCCATTCACAGATCCATGCGTGCACTGTGTCTGTTTCGGCCCCACATCAGGCTGGCACTGCAGGGAGGCTTGCTGGAGAGGACCCTGCAATGAACGTGCTCACCCACAGGCAGCTGGAGTGGCCAAGGGGCCCTCCCTGCTGGTGGAACCAGAGGGCTGCCGCTGGAGAGGGCCGATGTCCTGCCTGCAGGGCCCGGTGGCCACCGCCTCTGCTCCGCTTGCACCTTTCCGCACTTCCCACTTCCTGTGTGCCCTGGTACCCCTGCATCCTCTGCCCCCGTACCCTTTCAGTAGGGTGCGACGGCAGCGGCACTGGCCCAGAGTTGTGGCGAGGACGGTCAGGCGGATGGCTGCTATTTGGCACGTAAGCCATTGCTGTTCTTCCTCCCTCGCTCTCTGTCCTCCTAGGTATGTCCCAGAGGCCCCCGAGGAGGATGAGGAGTCTGAGGGCACCCCGAGGGGGCAGGACCTGAAGGAGGCCTACATCCAGCTCATCCAAGGTGTGCAGGAGTGGCATGACGGCTGTGTCTACCGAGGGGAGTTCGGGCTGGACATGAAGCTGGGTTATGGTGAATTCACGTGGCCCACAGGCGAGGTAACGGGCCTGTCCTGCCCCTCCACTTCCCATCACGGGCTCCTCAACTCCCACTCCCCTGCACCGGGGCTCATCCTCCTCTCGTTGGGTCTGCCTAGCTTCTCCCCTGAGTGATGTGATGTGAGCAGTTGGCTGTCTAAGGGAAGGATGCTAGGCTGACGGCTTCCCTAGCTGAGAAACGCTCTGAGCAGAAAACCCTACGGGCTTAGAGATCATGCCCACGGTTTCCCCAGGGGCTCATGGAAGATTTTGGGGCAGCTGTGTCTTAAGAATTTTTTTCTTTTTTTTAAGAATTGCTTTATTCAACTTTATTTATTTATTTATTTTAATTTGGGCAGAGACAGGGAGCAAGAGAGAGAGAAAGCAAGCCTTCAGGTCCAGGACCTGAACCGTAGCCATATGGGAGTCCAGTGCCCTTAACCACCATGCCATCTGCTGGCCACAAGAATTCTTACTCTTGGCAGATGTTTGGAAATAGAAAATTACTGTAGCAACTTGTGTATTTACATTGCCTTGTCTTAAACTTCAAGCAGGGGGCAAGGGTGTTCTGAAAGACAACGCCCCGGGTGCAACACATTCTTGCACCCCTGCTGGCCACACCCAGACCTCACCTCCATGGAGACTGCCCTGCGACTGGGCAGTCCTAGGGTTTGCCCCTCCTGCAATCCCTGGTTGAGTGGAGCAATGTGGTGTGTGCAAAGTCGGGGTGTGTCTTGGGCACCAGATCATCTCCTCTGTGACCTTGGGTTCTGAAGATTTCTCAGCGCTGACCGTGAAGATTTCTCAGCGCTGGCCGCTCTTCAGCTGAGCAGACTGCCATGCCCTGCATCTGCACACAGGAGCACGCGGGCACCAGGGCGGCGCCACAGCCCTGCCGCTCAGCGACCTTGCCCTGGTCGAGCTTTCGCAGCCTGCAGACCTCAGCTCCAACCCAGCTGAGACAGAGAGGCCCTCAGCTGGCTCTCGTGTCTGCAAGTCCTAGGGAAGCACGGCCGCAGGTGCAGCTGGATCCAGAAGAATCTGTCCCTCCCTTTGTCGGGGTTCACCATCTACCATGTGACCTGCCTCTGGGGAAGAGGGTACACACTCCTGGAAGAGAGGCTGCCGCAGCACGCGGGTCTAGCTCGGTGCGGTATGCTGTGACGCGGCCAAGCACCAATCAAGGTCGGAGCACAGTCTCTGCGCTCGGCAGCCTCCAAGTCCTGGGCAGGGCTCTGTTAGCTAGGCTTCCTCCACGTGCTAAACAGGTCTCTGGTTGGCTAAGCCCGGATCTCTGATTGGCTAGGCCCTGCCCATGTGCTGAGTCAGGGGGCCTCTGGTTGGCTAAGCTAGGTCCACACGCTGAGGGGGGTAGTCTCTGGCTGGCTAGGCCCTGTCCACCTGCTGGGGGGGTCCTCTGGCTGGCTAGGCCCCGCTTCTGTGCTGAGGCTCTCTGGTGGGCTGGGCCTGGCCACATATTGAGTGGGCGGGTCTTTAGCTAGGGCTGGCCACGTGCTGAGTGTGTGGGTCTCTGATTGGCTAGGCCCGGCCATGTGCTGAGTGGGCGGGTCTCTGATTGGCTAGGCCTGGCCGCGTGCTGGAGGCTGGGGTCCCCTGAGATTGGAGGGTGGGCCCCCGACTTCATCACCTGAAGGCAGGGTGAGAGGCTCGGTGGTGGTGGCCTAGCTCCTGGACGACCAATGGCCAGGGAGGGGCTGGCGCTGCTCCTGCCTTGGCGTCTTGCGGTGGCCCCAACCCACCCGGCCCAGGGTCCCCGGGAGGGCAGGGCCGGCCTCCAGCCTCGGCCTGGGCGGGCCCTGGGCACCCCGCGCGCGCGGCCACCT